GCTGCTTCTGGGCCCATGCCACCACAGGAGGAGAACACTAACGGTGTGAAGGAGCCATGCTCGACTTCGTTGACACGTTCACCATAAGCACGTTTCTTCTCGTCTTCAAAGAGGGAGGGAGTAGAGGGAGGGGAGGGACTTGGCACGATAGCTTGACGCGTGGGGATAAAACACCCTTGTTTCGAAGAATGCGTTGCGGCTATCGGTCCAGAATCCCTTCTCCGGCAGGTCGGCACGGGAATCAGGATCAGTGTTGGCTGACCGATGGCGAACGGCTTCGCCGGCTAGGGACTGCGATGGTGGCTCCACCTCCATTATCATGATGGAGCTCCTTCATGCACGATACGATGAAGTCGATGGGGTCATTGTGTCGCATGTGGATGAACACCGACAGCTTTCAAATTTGGGCATAGTCGACTGAAAACCTATCCTCTACTATAGTTGCTGTTGAAGTTGATTTTTAAACGTGGCACCACAACTAACAGGCGGTTTCGCCTCCTTTGATACATATGACTGACAGAGGGAATGGGAATGTGCTTCAGTTTGGCTTGCAAACCAGTGTGTTTGTTCAAGCAGCGGCTGTATCACTATCATCGTTCAGCTTTGAAAGGCATCAGCAAGGGATACTGTAACAGGACTGCGGCCTGCTAAACCGGTCAAATCAGCAAATCAGTGCATCATCGACTTGGAGGTGATAACATGCAATCGAGTGTATGATGCAATGATGCAACACTGCCAGCAACTTTGCCGCGTACAAGCAGTACAACACAGGGTCCCCAGTCTATGGCATGGACGACCTCTCAGTAGCTCATGGACCATGCTCCAGTGCATCACTACTGTCAGGCAGTGTATTGTATGGTCGTGTGTATCCCCGCGGGGATGCGACCGACACCAAGCGGTACTTTCTGGCATGTTAAACGCTGCGAACATGAATCTAGAAGATGGTTCAAGCCACGTGTGGGGGCATAGAATATCCATAATACGATTTGCCATGTTTCTGTTGCGTAATGAATTCTGGCTGTATCGCCTCTGCCAATCAATAATAATAAACCAAAGCGAAATGAACAAGCGAACAGGGCGAGTAATAAGGTGGAAATGGGCGGAGCTCGCCAGCAAATTACTGAAAACAAGCTGTTTTGAGTCAACACCAGTCACAGATGTAGTATGGCCACAAGCTCAATAGCCCTACGATCGTGCCCGTGAACCATTCCAGCGATAACTCTATTTACATAACTGTTAGTTCTCAAGGGCCGTGGCTACAGCACCATCTTGAAGTATCCCTGAATTGCAGCAAAGTCAGGTTTACTGACTGGCTTGGCATGGGCAACTACATGTACATGTACATGATGTGAAGACTGTGGAGTGTTGTAGGAAGTAACGTTAGTTTGGGGACGCCATGCACCTGGTGTTGCCTGTCAGCGCTAGTGTCCAATTATGTTACCATTATCAATGGCGTTGTACATGTGAAAGACTCGACTTGTTGGTGCCAGCAAAAGACAAAAAAAGACATCGACATTCTTTGTACAGCGAGCTTACACGAGCGCAAGTTACACTGAGCCTTAGCTCCTAGGTTGGAAGAATATAAGTCGTCCTTCCGCCTGCCAAAAGGTATTCACGTTCTAACGTACATGTACATGTACATGTACATGTACATGTAACGTCACATACAGTGTACATGTAAACGTCACATACAGTGTACATGTAACGTACCACTCCCCACACAAATACATGACTGCACGTGTACATGTACATGTACCGGCATACCCACCATTCTCATGTTGTCTGATGCTTGGTTGTGCTTGAAAGTCTGGGTTGCAAACCATAGCCTTTCTGTCCACTGTTTGGCTGAAACGTTAGTTACATAATGCACGCGTCGCTTCATGAACAGACAGTATAGAGTACAGGTGCATACCTTGCTACACTATTTTGTTCCGTGGAACATCAGCATAACGTACCCCAAAGATATAAATCTTACTTGTGCCACTAGAGCACAATGTCCTATAGCTAAAGTTTGTGTCGCTGCGGATGTACATGGACATGTACCAATTCTCTCGATGACGTACTGAAATTGACCTTTCACGAATGCATGCCATGATTCCCATCTTTACGTCGTGGTAATTACCAGCATCCAGATTATTCTCAATACTGGTGTCTGATGATCGCGTACCTGTGCGTGAAACTCAGCGTCACAACACTAACGAACTTCCTCCTCTTCTTGTTGACAGTAGCTCTGCCCTTGGGCATCGAGAACTCTGTTGAACTGGCTGAAACCTTTCCGTTTTAAAATCAACGTACATGTACATGTACATGGATACATGTAACTGAGATACTGACTGTCTAACCAAGGCTAGGTCAAAAGCCTCATACTGTCATACATTTGCTATTTGCACCGGTATGGCAATCAGGTTTCTTGATCCCTTGCAAGAATTATGCATGTACGGTGCTGTCCTAAAAAACGAGTACTAATGGATGCAGTTAATGGGGTCGTCTTTGGCACTTGTGCCAGTGGTTGTGAGACTTACCCACTCACCCCCACCGTTAGGCGCTGCATCTGCCGCTAGGGTTTATCGGGTGTTAGCGGCCGTCGTGAGTTCCCTTCGGGAACGGATACGATAATTTACTTTTTACTTACTTACTAAGTAGGCGGGATCCACAATAACAGCCAAAGTGATAATATATATAACACAAATCTCTAGATAGCTGCAAATATATTGACTGTAGCTACTATAAATAATATATAGTATGCTGGTGTCAACATGCAGTCGGCATGCGAACGTCTAACGTGACAGAGACTCCAGTATCTCCAGGGGCGTTTTATGTTAGAGAGGACGTACACGTCTCCCCACATGAGGGGCTATTCATCATTCTGAGTTTTGTAGCTTTGTTGGCTGCCAGTTTCAGTTGCAAACTAAGTTAGTTTTGCTGATCTCCATGAACGTTCCTAGCTACGCTGTCAGAACTAGGTAGGAACGCTGCTAGAGGTGACTGACAGCTGGATTGTACTTGTGTTTACACATGTATAATGTACATGTTTATCGGCCTGTTAGTTACACAGTGCGGCCTTAGTTTAGCAAGGAGACAATTGTGGACATGGTGGGCATTCAGTTCTTGCGCTAGTAACTCTATATAAACTATGGTTATGTTCCTAGTACAAGTCACCTGACTAAATTCATTCACAATTAACGATAGGTATTGCTTGTACTTGTACAGGACGTGCACGGTATAACGGGGAACGGTATAACATTACTTTCCAACAGTATCCCGTGCAGCTATTTTCGTATCTCATTCTGGCACATTCATGGGATCAGGGGAGGGAGTGGCGAAGGGAACTTCTGAAGAAGGATGTTGCCTATCAGGATCGGTGTCAGATCACAGCCAGGTCTGAGGACTAGACGTTCTACCAGTTTGTAGTCTAATGGAACCAAGGGTTTTCACTGCTACCCGCTACAACGTAGCTACATGTATTGTGTACAACATGGGAACTCCCTAGCGTTTAGAGCATTGTCTCTAGTAGTAGTAGTAGCTGAAACAGTGTCACTGTTCATGTCAATGAACATCTGTTGTAATTACTGTACAGATGTACATGTATTTCAAAAATCAATTATCAGAATCGAGCCTGCGCAGCAGGTCGTGTGCAGTGAGAGGAGTTGATCTAATGAATCTTGTGAAAGGAAGAATAAAGCTCTATCGCTGTAGTTAAGTACACGTACATGTACATGTATACGCAGAGATTTACGTATTAGAGATCATCAGACAGCACCGACTCCACTGTCCAAAGGATGTGTTCAGTCTGTTGGTAGTGATACAGCCTTACTAGTGGCTGCTGCAAACGTGGGTGATTTTGTGCAAGGGAATAATAGCATGTGCCAATAGTGTCCAAACGAGTGCGAGCTGGGTGGGGCGAAAGAAGACGATACCAACAGTCACCAACAGCATACAATGAACAATGAGGTGAATATCACCATGATGGGTATCACTACATACATGTACATGTACATGTACTTGTACATATACATGTAGGCTGCGAGTGACCGTTAGTCGAAGGCGAGATGAAGTGAAAAATGGTATCATAGATTGGAGAAAATACGGATTTTGGCCACATCAGTACTTCGTCTGCTACAGCTACCCACGCCACTCAGCTACGGATGATGAACACTCTACTTTTTTTTTTAAATTAAAAAAAATTAAACACGCACTCTGCATTCAAAGCCTGATCAGGCGCTACTCTACTTACATGTACATGAGTCATGACTGCACTGACTGTCGCTAGCCTTCCAGTGTAGGAGTAGTACGGCATAGCCACTGGCACTGGCACTGGCGGGCACTGCCACTGACACACACAGTGATCGACATGTACATGACTCTGTCTCTGGTCTACTTCAGTAAACACACCTCGCACCCAGACACAGAGGCTGACTTGGTCAGCTCAGTCGCGCGGTGATACAGTGACGAGATCACTCTCGGGTGCTTCACGCCATCATCGGCGCGCCGTTCCGGGGTCCCACAGACTCAGTGCACTAATGACTAATGACAGGCCACAAAGACTGTTAGTGTTACACGCACACCGTGTCTGTCCGCGTGTGTGTGTTCTTGCGCGCGCGCACTCGTGCGGGAGTGAAACACATTAAAAAAATTCACGTCTTTCACACTCTTGAGTCTTGCATACGGTAGCCGATCTTCGATTGTGCTGACCCAGTGAGTGACTGACTGACTGACCCAGTGACTGACCAGGCCTTCCCCATTGTGTTCACATACTCATCGATAAGTAGTGGAGTACGGCACTACGGGTACAGTCACAGACAAGTACCAGCATATACTGCACTGCTAGATGCTTTCCACTGACCATTTTGTAGATATCTACGTCCCTAGTACCCTGCCTAGCTACATACTAAACATAGTACATGAGGCTTGCCATTGTGCTGTACGCATAGCCAGTGCACTGGATTGTTGGAGAGGGCCGCATGCAGTGAGATTGAGAGCTAGAGTACAGTGTATGATGTATCTGTCCGCCCAGTGTTTGTCGAGGGCAGCTTTTTTTTCAGTGACATTTTTGACAGAGCGTGGTTGATCGCACAGCAAGACTCTCTAGTAGTTGTGCTGCGGGAGGGGACGTGGTTATCTGCACTGGGGCTGGCTGGTATTGCCCTGGACGAGCACAGCAGGACCCGAGTGGACGTGTCGTTCCCTTGTAGTCGTTAGCTCCGCGGGAGGATCTCTAGTGCAGAGATCAAGAGCTGGTGTTCTGAGAGCTACTGCTGTGCTGCTTGAGCAAGACGGATCGCTAGGAATGATGATGCCCGCTTTCAAGTTGAGCACGTCGTCTCGTGTGCTGATCGTTGCACTGTTGTCTCTACTCTGCGTGGACGTCAGTAGCGGTGAGTTCATACATTCTGTTCCATGAAGAACAAAAGAGAGGAGAACGATGCGTGGATGGTCCTTGCCAATGAGCGCAAGACACTCAACCAGCGTGTCGTGGAAGTGGAGGTTTCCTTCCTTCCACGGCCACGTCGTTCAGTGGCTTGTGGTTATTGGTTTTTGCGTAGAACTCCTGTGATGGTGTGTGTGTGTGCGCGTGTGTGTGTGTGCTATGTCCGTTTCCTTTCTGTTTCTGTTCCGCGCGTCGCTTTCCGCGCACTGTCTCGCCCACTGCAGCCCTGATTTGTCATTGTAACGATGCGAGTATATGCGGTTCCAGCGCCACGACCTGCAGTGTAGCGAACGACGGCAAAGCTGCTTGTCTGACGCACGTCTACGACAATGGTACGCAGTTCACTTTGCTCTGCTCCGCCGCAGGCAGTGAGTGTCCGAGAGCTGGCGATCCTGTGGGAGACGAAGGCACATACACGCTCTGCTGTCGGTCCAACCTGTGCAACGATGGAGGTAGGTGTGAGATACCATTATAATCATGTAGTAATCATTAGGTTTCCCCTTTCTTTTCTTGCACAAATACCAGCAAATAGTACCTAGACGAGCCTCGACTGGTAAAGCCATGAATGGACATTGGTGGAAGGAAAGAGTTTGTCTTTCGGAGTGTTGCCGACTCAATGTGTGCATAATCGAACTGCACTTGGCTGGCAACTACTTGTCGTGAAGAATACGGCTGAGTATGCCGCTCGCGTGTGCTCTTTCCTTGTCGGCATTTATGCGTAAGTGTGTTTCGGAGTGGCCAGTAATAATGATCGTAGAACATAACATCTCCGCTGTCATTGGTGTTTGGGAGGCTGTATCTTCGCCTCTTCTCCTGTGTATGGGTGAAGGGTAGTTGTAATCCCGCTGAGCAACACTTTACCGTCAATGCTGTGCTATACAGTTGGGCGTTGACACCACCAATTGAGAGTAGAGAGAACGAAAGGAGACAAGAAGGTCCCAAAAAGAGTGCGAACACTATAACAAACAGCAGACTATGCCTAGCATGGTGGCACAACGCGTAGAGTTGGTGACTGAGTAAGGTCGCTCCCCGGCCTAGACTCTGTAGTGTGTGCGACCGCTTGTATTGTGCGGGTCAACGAGCAGACGTGGATCAAACCTGGTGTCATCCATCCTGTCAGCAATGAGGTCCTTCTCTGTTGTTTCCCGACGCGCCATATGGCCATTGTGACTGTGGTTTGACCATTCCAGGGATAGATTCCTATACTAGAGCCTGCTGCTGCTGTCCAGGGCTCATCACATCCGCGAGTACATGTAGATCCATGGTAAGATTCAAAACCTTCAGCAAATTCCTCTCTTACCCTACCTTTGCAACTTTGTAGCTATAAATTCATCGCGCTAGCGTTTGGTACGTTCAAGGTTGCGTTTTATTCTCCGTGGGGTTACAGTTCCCTCCCATCACGTCTGCGCAAATTGTACCCGAGGCAGTATGGAGGTGCGTGGAGTAATATTCTGTTATCGTTTATCCCGCTGCTGCCCAGACAGTGGCTGTTGAGGACCTGAGTGTCTGGTCTGGGGCAGTTTGAGGATAATTACATCCAAACCCAGCATACCACTTGGTGTGTAGCAGTGATTTGCGAAAGTCTTCTCTTCAAATGTCACTAAAGCGTAAAGGAGATCCGAAAAGCCGCAACGAATGGTCGAACGACGTGTAGATGTAGATTATGTACGCGCAATGGGTTTGTTTCGTTCTGCACGCCACCTCACGTAACGAGTATGTTTCTGCTGTTCTCTGTGTGTCCATCCGGATATGGCTGACAAGAAAGGTGTTGTACAATGATGTGTATTCGTCAGGCTTGTACAGCTCCACTGGACCGCTGCTCGTTTTCCTTTTCACTGGCTTTTCGCCCTACATAACATACCTACATGTACGAAGTGTCGTTACGTCCGTACACAACAGTGAAATGCTGCCCTGGCCTCACATGGATCCCCCTGCCCTGTGTACATGCGACTCCTGCGTCAGGAAAATTGCCATCTCACCCTCACACCCGGTCCGTGAGTGTACATGAATGCCGCATATAATTATGGGTTGGGGGCAATACTACTACTAGCAATGCAGTGGGGACACCCACCCTAGCGCTATAGCTATAGCAGCCCTAGCCCTGGCGAGTGACTTTTTCCTAGATTCTGGCCTAGCACTAGCAGTAGAAAACTAGTAGTAGTAAAATTACAGAGTGTGAAACATTAAAACCACGGGACATGTTACGGTGTGCCACTTTCAGTTCACATAGCTTGTTTCCCTGATATCCCTGGTCATATGATCCTCGTTCCCCCGGATTGGGTTCATTGTTTCAAATGTTACTCCTGGGCAGTAACGCTGCGGAATCCTTGTCTGTCATGCGCGCCCCTGCTCTGCACGTATCCTTTCTCACTTCCTGGAGTGACGCCCAGATATTGTTAGCGTATCTCAGCTGAGTGATGGTGCTCCGATTTCTTGTTTGCGGTGTGTCAGCGGACTTACCTTTCCGTGGGGCCATCTCGTTCGACGTGTCACCTCTTTCCTTTCACCACATACCTGACGTACCGCACGCTTCACACGTATCCTAACGGTGACATGTATGATTATTTTCCCTGAGCAGAGGTCAGTAGGTGATGATGGATGGTGTAATCATACTAATGCAACAGGATCATCACCTGCAGTCGTTCTATTCTTTTTGCAGAAACGTGAGAGTGAGCCGAATCTCAGCCGATCTATCTCTACCTCTCTCCTGTCACACTGTCAACATCCTAGCTATTCTTCTAAGCTGAACGGCGGGCGGCAGTCGAACAATGTCGCTCGTGCTCTTCGTTTATAGTAGTTTGTCGATGTGGTGGAGTATTGACGATGTTACCTGGCTGCTTCCGCGGCCGCTGCAGTGAATGTGCACGTTCATCTTGTGCGTACCCTATCTAAACACGCAGTTATGATGTAGCGACAGTACATAATGTCAATTTTCATAGCTATGTGTCGTTTCCAAGCATGCGATGAAGACATCTGGTGACACATTCCTGCAGGGGCTGCGTAAGCTGTAGTAGTCAAGAACGCAGCGTCAAGAACCCAGGATGAATCCAGATTCTTTGGTTTGGGCATGGCGGTATTGCTTTGACCCTGGGCACTAAGCAAGAGCAGCACGAGAAAACGTGCAGTTTTAGTTTGACAGTTTTCTCAGTCGAGGAAATGCGCATGGCAGCATCTAGTGGAAGGCATCTTTCTTGACACTAGAGTAGAGGAGTAAAATTAGTCTACCCATTATTCGTCGTTAATTCTGTCATGGGCTAATGAGCGTGAAACCTGATGCTGGCTCTGAGCTGACATTAACACCCATGTCCCCTATATCACTTTTGATTAAGTATTGTAGTGCTATTGGTAATACTATTAGTCCTGGGTTGATGGGGGTAGATACTGAGATGTTATGCACTGCTTGAAGATAATTATTGTAGAGCACGCTGTCATTCAGCCCCGTTGGCAGCGGATCTTTGCCGGCGAGTTGTCAACGAGGACGCTCGCGGTGGCCTGGAGGATTTCCGTAATCAGTATGACTGGCCAGAAGTGACTCTGGCGGCGCACCGGCCCAAGAGTACAAGCTGCGTGTGCCTTTGAAATTTTTCAGTGGCCCTGTCTCTATTGCTAGCACTAGCCTAACGTGCTATGCATGTGCATTGTGAAGCATCCCTGGCTAGATTGTGTACGTAATGCCTACTAATGGACGCTGCTTCCCTGGGGATAATGGATGATCCAGAGGCGAAGTCAGTCAGGCCATGTCTCTGTAGATTACACGCACCATCCATTATGGGCAGTTCTCCTCTGACTGAGATTTAGTGCGACGCAGCTAGAGATACTGTACGAGCCTTGTAGGGCCTACTAGCTGGGTCGGAATGGATTGCCCGCCTTTGAACCCGACTGCCTCTTCACGAGCCGACCACATAGGAGAAGCGCGTGTATCCCTTTTGTGACATTCTGCATTCTGTCGCTGGCCCGTTGTTAAAATATCCGTGCTATTTCCAGTCGGTCTGTAGCGCTGCTTCAAGTACTGGTCACTTGAAACGCACTTTTGCCTGAGCCGACGGCGCGATGGCTTGTACTCAGTTGTAGAACATTGCACCCCTGTTGTCGGCGTGATCTGCATTTTCTGCGGTGCAGCATGTTTATAAGTAACGGCGATATGGGGATTAGTTACCCCCCCCCCCCCCCCCCCCCAGTACCTTGTACAAGTCGCTACCTTTCTCGTATACTAGTGCAAGTACTGTGGAAAGTGTTGGAAGAATGACTTTTTAGTACTCAAGATGGCAATTAAAAGTCCCATTTTCACCCCAACTTCCCAAGTCCCATTTTCACCCTAACACATTTCTGATCCATCGATCCGGCAGGGGAAATTAGGCTACTAGTACTAGTACTATTGAAACGCTGAAATTCTTGTTTCTATAACCGCCACAATATCACCTACGACTTTAACTTTTAAAGCCTGTTGACTGTTGTTTCACGAGTAGGATTTGACTTCTGGCCATGGCGAATTAATTGAGTTCGTCCACCTGTTTCGTGTACGCTTCACATGACGATGGTGCGGGTCAAGCACTGTGGCGTTCCTGTCCTTACCGGTGGATATGTTTGTGACGGCATCAATGTCACAGTTGAGAGTACTGCAGCAGTGCATGTAGGAGTAACGAGTCCCCCTGTCGCGATACCCAAGCTCCGCTACATCGTTCGAGTGCTGTAGGTGAATACAGACATAGGGTAGTCATGCAAGCCACCAAGTATGACCTATGGAGCATGGAAGACATAATCAACCTTGAATGCAGCACTGGGGAACATGCACAAATACATTTTAACATCGTTACCTGGGTATGGCCTCTACCTGGTAAACGGCGCACAATGCTTAGATGATGCTGTACAGTGTAGATCTACTAGTGGTCGCATTTCAATTTGGATACTACCACTGGCCACTGGACAGTTATCATTTTCCTCCAGCGAGACCAAGTCGATCACTGTGCCTTTGACCCGCGGTGGAGCAATTTGTCTCAAACGCTGAACCATATTCATGGCTATCAAGCACTTGTGCGCCCGTAGTTGTCATCCTCACACAACATCACTGACTGTGCCACGGAACGCCCGTCTGGAAGAACGCTGTCGGCGGAGGCCCAGTGTTCAAGCTGTTCAGGAACGAGAATGTTGCCACAGTTGCCACCCGTTCACAAATGAATAAACTGAATCCGTTTGTCAACATAGTCTATTGATGCATAAATAATGGCATGCGGAGACTCAACGGCCAGATCTGCACTCCAGTGACTTGCGAGAATGAGATCTGAACGGTGAACTGCTTTGTGGAGAATGTACCATGTAGATACAGTGCACTAGTGGGCATGCGATTGCCTTTCCACACATGAAAAAGAAGAAGAAAAACTGAAATGAAACAGCGCTATTAAATTCTCTACTTTGCCCTTGATCTTTAAAAAATGTGATGTACTGTACATGTAGTTGCATTTCTTAGCCGTGTCACGTCATGGCTCACTCTGCTCTGCGCACACACTGCTCAGCTACAGTACTCAACTCTAAAGTGACACGTTCTGCATTCGTCGAAGATTCACCAACGCGACAATCATAGCCAACCGGGAAAACTGACATTCCATCAATTATTTTAATAGTAGGATCAACATAGTCAATATTCTGGAGGAGGAACTGACTGTCGACGCAACACGTTTTCTATGGTCGCTTGCTCGCATACTTCTTGGGGATAGCTCCACCTAGTACTTACTACTACTACCTGCCTCTCACTCTCAAGTATACTGTATCCAGTGTTGATTGCACTGCCACTGATCCTCCCTGCTTGTTATCGCTGCTACCATTGGCAAGTTTGAGTTTCTATTTGTGAAATTTGTAGCAACTACACGGACGCTAATTTTATTATCGTTGCGCCGAAGCAACGTCTTCGTGTAGCATGGAATGTACACGAAAGATTGTATTGGGTGCCTGCGTGTATTTTAGACGAAGGCGGTCGTGGCAACTAACTCACTTTCGAAGTAACGTGTATGCGTAGCAACATCACTTCTCAAGAAAAATGTCAGCTCAAGCTGTCTTTTGTCGTGCGCCTGGGCCGCCTCGAATACACGCTGTCACAGCGGTAGCGACAAGCCGTGATGCCTTGTTGCGCCTTCCGGCTATCGTGTGAACACACACTACACGCCGTCATTACTACACGCAGAAGAGGTATCACACTCACTCACCGAGCCGTGGCGAGAGGAATCGCGCTCTCGTGACTCCTAGCCTAGATCCTGCCTGGTACAGTACCGATCTCAGTCATCTCACCCGAGTGACGGTATCGTCACGAGGAGCCTGCCGACCTGACGAGATCCATACAACGGTCAGCTATCGTATCGCATGTCGGCACTGACTGTACGTAGATCCAGACCACACAATCTGCGCAGTCCATAGCGTGTATGTTTTTGTTACCATCCAGTCCAGCCTTCAGCAGTTCAGGAGGAAACCCAACCAGGTCAAGTGCTGGGTAAAGACCAAAGAGGGACCCCACCAGAAGGCAGCGGCACTGATATGCACAGCGGGGTCTTCCCTCCTGTGGCTGGGAGTGTGGACACGCTGAACTAGTGCAGCCACTCTCCACGGTCCACTAGCTGATTAGATCGGGTGCTTCCGAATTCCAGTCCTGTAGTTGTACTCCGGGGTGTCTGAAATCGTCAGTGATTGATTACACTGACGGGCATACATTCGCAGTCTTTACCTTCCAAGACTAGCTCACATCTTCGCTTCAGCTATGCCACAACCTGAGTGGAGGATGTCAGCTATTTCATGCGTGCCTATCCTTATTTTTGTGTGTATTGCTTGTGTCTGGAACACTCCGAACAGAACAGACAAGCATTTTTAAATACCGTTGAAAGTTTGCATGAGTGGCTCGGACAGAGTGAAGTAGAAATGGCAGAGCAGGGAGTCCGCGCATACTCATCCTATACGTGTTTTATCCTGCACAAACAAACAAGGACAGAAAAGAAATTGACGTACATGTACATGGTTTGGAGGGTATAATCAGCATCATGTCATGTCTTACAGTAGATACATGTAGACCAAGACTCAAGAGTACATAATCAGGTTACGCACATTGCGTGTGCTCTTGACGAAAAAATCACAAAATACATGGCTGGGCTAGTGGCCCCGCTGCGCAGATGCACCTGCTCACAGCGTGTGTGTGTGTGAATACTATGTATAATATGTACGTATGACCAAGAGTACATAACTCTTGCAGTCTTGGTATGACTCAGTGTAAATGTAGGTAAAATATGGGTCGCACTGACATGACAAAGGCAAGGTCATTGTGTATTTTGTGAGAACAATTACATACCTGTTGAAAAAGCTGTATTGATGCTTATCACTCCCTTAGTATTGACTCACATAGATTTTTGCCATACCTAAGCAGTCAAATATTCCTGCATATTTCACTCCTTAGGGCTATATTGACCGCTTATATTTGACTCCTTTTTAGCGATTGAACACATGCTTTGGTCAGTCGTGATAAATCTAATATTGACTTTGTACTTGGTCAGTATAGGAAATAAAAGACCTCGTAAAAGACCTCGGCTTCGCCTCGGTCTTTTACTCGGCTTCGCCTCGGTCTTTTACTCGGCTTCGCCTCGGTCTTTTACTCGGCTTTTATTTCCTATATTGACCTCGTACTCAGTCAATATTAGATACGTATGATGCATGAATGACATGTAATGTACTGCCATACTTCGAACTACGGGTAGTATTGTACGTGTACATACAGGCAGGAATGGACCTGATAATAACTTTTATGCCTCGCATAAGATGAAGTTGCTTGTTCCACTAATACCGCCGAAGTCGCAACTTCTAAGTTCGTAGAATTATATTATAGAGTTTTAACAACCCAAGTTAGGTTGCTACATAGAATTAATTCCAGATGTGGTCTATAGCTTAGGTTGGGGGCAGAACCAAATGACGAAAGTTAGTTTGCAATGCATGAACATCTTCCTACTGCAGTCCTTCCCGTAGTGGGAATGTTCAGCCGATTGGGTCCTTTGGTGTTACTTCTCCATCAAACTTTGTATTTTTGTATTTGAACTTTACCATGTTACCTTTGGATCCTCCCAACAGACCCTGAGTTCTTCTTGCTAGGCAGTACGTCAATTAATGGCAAAATGCATTTGAGTTGGCTGTGAGGATGCTGCTGATTAACGTTAGCTTGCATTGTGTCGCTGGTTACTTTCTTTAACTTATGGCCATACTCCGAAATGTTGATACAGTCAACTTCGCTAATAACGACTGCGGATACAACGACACTTCGTGAATAACGACAGAATTTCCATGCCCAGAGCAAAGTCCCATCTCACTGTAATACATATCATGAGACTTCGGGTATAAGGACCCTTTCTGATGCCCCGCCGAGTGTCGTTATATGCAAAGTTGACTGCATCTATCACTAGTTCGGATTCGAGAATGCGCGTGTGTGTGTGAACTAATTTCTACCCATGTCCACTCTCTGCTTTGTCCGTACAGAAGTTAATGTCATGACTGCGCCGCATGCTCCCGAGCCAATCAATGTACCACCGAGGTCGGAGGGAAAGCTGCGCTGCGACTGTCAAGTCCACGACTGCAAGGATGACGCAGCGACGGGCAAGCGGAAGAAAGCGCACTGCGTGGTGCGCGACGGCTGGTGCGCCACCAAGACAAGGGTAAACCCGCTCTCGGCCATATTTGGCAGGAACCTGCCACCGCAGACCATCCGCTACTGCACGACAGACTATAGCGAATGTTCGGCGGGGTTCCAAGGAGATTCCAACGTGCTTTGCTGCAGTAACAGACGCTTTTGCAACGAGGGCCTCAGTCCTAGTCTATCGGCTGGGGATTTGCATCGTATTCCCACCGACCCAAGAGATAATCCGAAAGTATCACCCATTACCACCCAGCCACCCAGGGAGGACCCTACGGAAGGTGAGTTTGGACAAGTGAAAGTATCAGTGGTAACTCACCAACACTGGTCTTTCTTGTGGCAGTGGTGCGATGGAATTTCTTATCAGGGGTTGAAGGGTGTCCAGTCATGTTTCTGTAACTCTTATTCCCTTCTCGGTGTTAATTTTATGTGTTTGAGTGTAGGATGGTAGAATTTTAAAGACAGGCCCACCTCTATTGGAGATGTTTGTGTCCCTCCAATAAATTCCAACTAGGCATATGCCTGATCAAGGATGCCATTCAATTTCGTGCTGAAGTGGGTATTGGCTAATAGGAATCCTTCGGGAGTTGCTTCTTGTGTCGCTGACACAAATAATATTGTGTCATACATAAATATTACGTGTGTGTATGTTTGTGTGTGTATGTGTGTGTGTGTTTGTGTGTGCGTGTGTGTGTGTGTGTGTGTGTGCATGTGTACGTGTGTGTGTGTGCAACCGCTTGTTCCGTTCATGCAGTGAGACGAGTGTGGTGCCACTGCACGAATCCAGTGCAGTGCAATGAAACCTTTCCCTTCTGCCAAACCTCCGGCGAATGCCAGTACAAGCCGAGTATGGTGCGCGGCCTCAAGGTGAGTGACACACGGAGAGTTGTAACCGTGGGGCTGCTGTGCCCTCCCTTGCATTTTTGGCCACCCCATTCAACATCAAATCATCGCTGCACGTACAGTGCACAGTACTACGAATTTAACTAACATACCCTTGTTTTCCCTATTTGTATTTTGTATTTACGGTTTCTCCATGGGCCTTAGCCTAAAACAAGGGAGTCTCCATCATCAACTTATGAATTTTGGGATGTAATGTGCAACACCAACCAACCAAACCGTACGAGTACTGTAATAGGTGTGTTTGTGCTAAGGCAGTACACTACTCACTATTCGTATCTCCCGCTCCTTCACCATAGCAATGAGATCCCATCAAGTATGGAAGAGCACATGCTCCAGTGGTTCTCTAGTCTCCGTTCTTCTTATGGGAAAACGCTCTGCGCCCTTTTTCTTGCAAACTGCTGGGAAAGGGCCCAAAGCACAGGGCGCAGAGAGTTTTCCCATAAGGAAGAGAAGGAGGTCTGGTTGGAATGTGTCGTAACTAAGGCCGTGATCGTTTGGTCGGATCCAGATCCAGATCCGTCGGATCCACTGGATTTGCAATGATCGACTGGTCGAATCCGGATCCAGATCCTTCGGATTTGGATCCGAGCAACCCTGCCCCGGGAGCAGGGTTGACTGGATCCATCGGATCCAAATGTGACCTTTGTGCGTATATGGCGAGTAAAAATCATTTTTGTACTCATTGTCGTACGTGTAGTGGACTTTTGTTGACTTTTTGTACGACGCACGCGCGCGCACGATCAGTACGACTTTTGCCCTTTTGGGTGACCTGTAAGCGCCATTTTTTACTTCGTCAACATGGCAACAGGCAAGGTCCGAAAAAAAGTGTTCGGTTGATTCTGAAGGATCCGACGGATCTGAGATTTGGATCTGGATCTGGATCCGACCAAACTATCATAGCCTTTAGTAATAGGCTGCATTCGATTGTGGAAACTGGATCCCGATCCCCGCCGACCAGATCACTTCGATCGGACGGATACAATCGAATGTGCACTAAGTTTCATGCTAAGGCAATAATCAGACAGCTGATAGTTAAACCTGAGACTAATTAATAACTTTCTGCTCATGTGTACATACATGACATATTTTTCTGTTTGTGCAGCCGATTATGCAATGCGTTGAGCCAAAGAACTTTCACCTGTGTGTACCCGGGGCGCCATGCTGCACGGAGCACTGCTGCAATGGCCAGGGTCTATGCAAACCGATCAGCACATCAACAGGTGAGGCATAATGTGGACGCATGGTTGGGTGATGCACAGAACTTTTTGTCAGAAACACCTCCAGCGAGAGACCGGCTGCATACTTGTACCTTTGAAGAAAGTTCGTCTCAGAAACTTGAATCAACATGCATGCACATTCAGACCTGTGGAGAAAGACCACCTGTCTAAAGAGACCACCTGTCTATGGAGACAACCTGCCTATGGGGACCACCTGCCTATGGAGATCACCTGCCTATTGAGACCAGCTCTATTTGCAGTAGCACCATGGGTTGGTTGCTAAACCCAGGTTCACTTCAAAGTTGAACCCCTTTATTAAAGACACCTCAAAGACCGGGTGTTCATCTCATGATAATGGAGGTATTCTAGGGGGACCTGATTACAGAGTGCATTACAAATCGATTGGGAGACAGTAAGTAGGCACTGAGCAACAACACCAATCACGCCCATAGCACCCGGTCCAGCCGGTCTGACCAGGGCTGGACCTTATTTCAAAAAGAAAATTCGACCCGCCCAATTCTTGCAAAACGGGGTTAAATAGAGTTCATTTCTGGTCAAGTCATTTGCCTGAACCATTTGAAATCCCGGCGCTACAGCCCTGCAGATGTGTTCTTAGTTGAGAGGCTTCCCTGAAGTTTGAACAGACATGTAAGAGCATGATATTTGTATATCAACGCGGGTGCCAATGTGTATTGAACAGTTCGCTCCTTTGAAAAGGCAGTGAGTGAATTGATCGAAGAAGGATAGGTTTATCATCACTGTGAATAAGAGTCATACTGTAGCTCAGTTGGTTAGAGCAGTGCTCGCGAATAGCAAGGTCCCTGGTTCGAGTCCCGGTGGTGTGACTGATTTTTTCTTTCTTTCATATCTGGCTTGCGAGTGTCGAGTTTCGGAGAGAAAAGAGCAGTACGTGGCATGTGGCCTCAAATTTCCTAATACAGTGAGTCTAGTGAATAGTTTGTTCTATTGAAAGGCACATGCAAAATGAATCCGCACATTCCTGAAATTCTACTGTTGATCTGCGACCTCCACTATCGTGACATGTTGTCTACTGTAACTGTTCTTTTAACAGATGAGGGCCCCACAACACAACACCCTGAGTACGACTGCCACTGCCACAACTGCATACAGAACTACCGCTGCCCGAGCCGCCATGGTTGCTTCTTCCGTTACAACAACGTCACCAAGGAAACAGAGCAGGACTGTCTCCGCGACGAGCACAGCGCTCTGGTTTCGTGCACGCCGACGTTTTCACGCACTCGTCACCTGACAGAATACTCAAGGGTCGTTGGCGACGTGCATTTCTACTGCTGCCGAGGGCACAACTGCAACGAGAAACATCCTGCATTTCCCGATGGTGAGTTGGTTGGATCACATAGCATATTGTTTTCGAAGTCGACAGCATGTTACAAGGTGGAGGACGCACCGCGCTCCTGACTACAACATGCTGTCGACTTCGAAAACATGTTACACAGTTTAACCTATCAAGCACGGCTTCTATATAATGTAACTTTTTGTCAAAACGTATTTGCATATTATGTTATATGCAAACACCTTAACACATTCGGGACAAATTCGCACTCGATTATAAGTCTCACCCCTATTTTCAGGTTTGAGCAATATTTTTTTGATGCATGTATTCACTTCAGTAGTAAGTCATGCTCAATTGAAAGTCGCACCCCTTTTTTTACCATGAATTTTAGTGTTAAACGGTGCGACTTATATTCGGGGAAATACGGCACTCGCATAAAATGAGCCATGATGTCATAGTGAAAAAAAACATTGACCGGTCTAATATTTCGTTTTCCAAGAGTCCATACCCATATCAATGAGATTCTGTAAAAAAAAAAAGACTGGTTTTCACCCAAATGTCCCCAAAGGTCGATTTTCCCTGACAACTGGTCATAAGTATACTATTGTAGAGTGTTGTGCTGTCTATTTGAAAGGAAGGATAATTGAACAATGTGTGGATGAGTCATGCGTGCCCAAGACTGGCTTAATGTTAACCTGCATACCTGAGTCCTTGACCTGGGTGAGTTTACTCTCACATACTCTGGATACACTGGACTAGCCCTTTCCCAAAGATGCTCGCCCTTTTTGGAAAAGCCCGTTTCTTTCGCCCTTTATTGCGTTTTTTGTGAATATCGCCCTTTTCGAGCTTTTTTGGCTGAAAAAGTGCTAAAATCTGTTTGCTCATGCATGCGATTACAGCTTCCGAGTGATCGATGGGCCTTGGCACGCCGCTTTTTTGGGGGCAACAAGTAGTTAGTTGGTGAAACTTGTACCCGGTGTACACAATGCTGTAAAAAGTGGGTTTTTTGAATTTAACTTCCGATTTCGCCTTTCGTGGACCCATACATGGAAAAGTGCGTATTCATTTCTCAGCTTGGGTTCATATCTGAACATGTATCATGGCTATGCTTCACTGAAAAAAGAGCTCTTTTTGCCTGTTTTCACTGAAAAAAAGCACTTTCTCAGCATATTTTGAGGGACGCGAAAAGCACTAAGTGCGAATTAAAAGAGCACCTTTGGGAAAGGGCTGCACTGGACACATGGTGGCTGCAGTTTCAACCCCGCTCAGTCTCCTCAGCCGCAGAGCTTAGAGCAGCTAGCTTTAACCGAGGAATCTGATTCTACTGCTTGCTTGTGTACGGGAATGTTTGTTTCAGTGCAGGCGCAGGGGAATCAATGATATAAGGGATGTAGCTGGTCCCCTTTTAGAGGGGGTGTACGTACCCCCGTACCCCGTATGGGTTCCTGGGTGCCCGGAGCCCCCCTTTTTTCGCTCAAAATGCAGGATTTTGCTTCATTTTTTTAAATTTTCCCAGCGGAGGCCCCCTCACCCCCCCCCCCCCATTGAAGGGCACCGGCGCACGCGCCTGTGTACGTACCCCCGTACCCCATGCAGGCTACACGCCAGGATATATTTTGGAGTTGATCACAAGCTCGCCGAGTCGGTGTAAGTGGAATTCACTCTTGTCCGTTTCTCCCTGCAGTTGTTGGCCAGAAGAGACTGGTATGCGCGTGCAGTGGTGAGCGATGCACGCAGGCAATAGACATCTGCGCCACCACTCTGGACGGCGGCCATTGCTACAGTGGCAGCGAGGGACAGTTCTGTCTGGGACCGGATGACCATGAGGGAGAGCATCTGAGGCTCTGCTCCGGAAATGCTACCTGCTGCAATAGCAACTTCTGCAACAAGAATGGTAGGTGAACTGCTGCCAGAGCCTTGAATCGGAGTGCACTTTTCTTTATTATAGCATGCTTGTGTAGATAGCTCAAGACTGAACTGTGAGGCATGTGGATATTTCATTCGATTCGTGACATCAACCACACACGATCACACACGATCATGATGGCTGCAACATGCATATTCAAATGACCGAGGAAGGCGGTGACAAACATGCAACGGTATTTTATTCATGAGTGTTTCATTCGTACTTGCACTTGTTTGCTTCAATGACATGAAAGCAACTATAACTGAATGTGTGTATGCATCAGGTTTTATGCGTGGCAGTGTGTATGCATCAGGTCTGTATAATCTAATGCTTTTCTCCTCTTTTCATGCACAGCCACGTCTGGTCCAAGCATAGTAGCTACGACCTCACCAAGTCAGTCAACCACACGACTCCCGATCACGACATCGACAAGTCAAGAGACTAGCAACAGTGGCAGCCGCGTCACGAACAAATACGAATCGCTCTTCATCAGCGTGTCCATATCCATTGCCATGGTGATGTGCGTGGCCATAATAGTCGTCGTCATGGTGTGCAAGCATCAGAAGTCGGCCAAGGAGGCGCGACAGCAGCGACTCAGCAAGTACCGCCGAAAGCCGCCCATCAACCTACCCACAAGCACATTTGACGCGATGCCGGTGATGCATCAACTGTCGGCATGGCAGCACCAGCAGATGCAGGCCAGTCTCTCGATAGACAGCGCCGACTGCCAGCCGCTGCAAAGCGGCGGCGGCGCAGGGGCAGCGACGGCAAACCGATCTGCCAGCACCACATCCACATTGATGACGGACACGGGCGGCAATGGCTCGCAGTCGACGACGGAAGGTTCGCCACCGCACACCGTCGACAATCGGCACAGCAGCGCTCTCAGTGCCCAGGAGACATGCAGCCCTGAGCAGCCGCAGCGGGATTGTTACAGCCCTGCAGACCGACAACAATCTCCATCTCCTCACTCACAACCAGCAGTGACCAATTATGCGGGACACGATGTGGAAGCAGCAGACGACTCCATGCTCTGATGCACTCAGGGGTTTTCAGACCATTCGTGACGATCAGTACTCACTTAACGCAGTACGTACACGAGTGTGTCTGTGTAGGTGAGAGAGGGGAAGGTCTGTGCGAACACTAAAAATGCCACTGTGAACCTTCAATTACGCCGTATTACCGTAGTGTTCGTGTGGGACACGCGGCAGAGAAATATCTATCCACTCAACATTCCCAGAGACGCCTTCTAAATATCCGACGTCCTTCGCTAGTAGCTTGAACAAATAAACTACAAGCTTTCTTCCATTTCCAACTGAGTTTCCTTTGAGAGCCAATCTACTGGCTGTGGATGAGTTCCCGACATGACTCGTCTGGTGTGAAAACGATCTGCTTTACATTGAAGTGCCTCTATTCGAACTGATTCAAAAATTAGATTGCTGTATATGAGTAGATATTTGACAAAATTAATACACTCTATATTCTAAAAGGTCTCTCGTCGTCGTGAAGTCTTGAAAGTATTTCTTAAATGCCGCCGCGTGATAATGCCTGCGTAACCCAACGCACACCGCGTCCTGTTCACAATAATTTCATTTTTATGAAGCTAGTTGTAAGATACTGTAGCTGTTATTTCCCCCGCATCGTAGGAATATAATTACTTGTATCTGAAGACTAGGCCTCAGTGCATGAGCAGCACTATGCTCGGACAACGAAAAAGGGGAAATACCCTCTGTCCTGCCATACAATGCAGTACGAGCCGGTGCACGTTCTTTCACTGGCGGTCAAGCATGGTAGTCAGTACATATTGACTGTCAGCTCTCAGTATAATTATTATCTTGATAGATCCTACCCAGCTGTGTACAATGTATTACTTCAAGTGTGTGTGTACAACATGAATACAGAGTGTGTATGGCATGAATATATCTTTACCCTGCATATAAAGCTATTATCTGCAGCCTATAAACTTTGAGATAAATTCACTGAGGCGTATTTGCTTTCTAATTACTATCTCTGGACTTTTCCCGGACTGAAAGGGCCGGAACAGGATGTATTTGTGCAATGGCGGCAGTGCTCGGTTTAATGGCAGCAGCATGTGTGCATGCTCGTGTGTGTGTGTGTGTGTGTGTGTGTGTGTGTGTCAGTGTGCATGTGTGGATGGGTGAGTGTGTCTGCGTGTGTGTGTGCCTGTCCTCGAAAATGCACGCGGGCCAAAAAAACAAAAACAAAACAAAAAACAACAAAAAAAGAGGAAAAGCCAAAACTCCATTCTATGTACATGGACATGTATACAGAGCCATGTTGCACTACCCGATTATTTTTTATCTCGTGGAAGGTCTGGGGTTACACCTCGCTGTGTTATAGAAGCTCTGCATATTTGTACATTAGATCCAGAGCTACTGGTATGCGTACTACATGGAAATAAGGAAAACGGCGGGGCACAAGTAACTTATGAGTTGGAGTCCACCAACTCAACCAGACTTTCGTCTATTTTGTTTATTTTCCTTGGCTCACTATCTCACCATGAGTCGACCTACTCAGGCTACTGGCTACTCAATCTGCGGACAGCATGCTGTTTCGTTCTTTGTGAACTCCTCAGCGCAGCACAGAGAAAATGAGGCCGAACCTGATAGCAATGAAAATACCTAGTACTAGCTACAAAAATGTCATCATGACATGTATGTGTAACTATTACTTAGAGAAGGAGAATGTGTTATCTTTGCAGTTGTTCAGTGTCACACCCCGTGAAAGTGGGACCAGCGTTTCTTGATTTTTTTTTCAACGTGTTGGTCTACAACTACTTACAGCTTCTGTTTTTGAGTTTATAGCACTTTAATCATTTCTCACCTATGTTGAAGTGTTGTCTCTTTCTTTCTTTCGTTTTTACAAACTCTTGGTGGATTATAGTCACGTGTCTTTCCAAGTTTCCAACATTCCCTGTACTACATGTACCGGTATAATAGGGGTGCGCGGATTATTCCCGGAATAATTTGGGAATACTATCGTTGAGGAAATTTTGGGAATTTTAGGGGAATTCTATCGATCCTTTGCCAGATCCATTGACCTTCAGAAGAGTTTTAGGGGAATTCTGTCAATTTTGACCTGCCAGAGGCAGAGAACAGAGAACAAGCGTATACATGTAGTGCAGATCCTGCATGCAGTAATCACGTGCCTGACCGTCCATTTTGCATACTAAAGAGCATGCGCAAGGCACGGTTCGTGCGCCGGGGTTCTTTTTTTGGGGGGAATTCTGGAGAATTTTTTCGATGTTTTGGGAGAATACTTTCGAAGTTCCGCGGGAAATGCCCAAAAGCATAATATCGGGTGCGTGCGAGCATAATCCGCGCACCCCTAATCCTGAAGAGAAGGGAAAGAAAACTGTTGATAGATGAAAGAAAGGGTCTACTTGATTGTGTCGATTCGCGTCTTTGCATGCGAAGTTATAGATTGCGAAACTATTTTGACCGCCTCCGAACCACCGCTTGAACAGCAATAATAACGTCGACCGTCATCGAAAAAATGGCGACATCCGCGACGGCCAACTAATACTTTCGTGCAGTCAAAGCGGCTATGAATCCGAAGAGCACTGTTGTTTGACGGTGGGAAAAAATACGCGGAAGAGACATCCTTTTCCAACACAAGCCTTCTATGTGTACATGTAGTCTTGGAGAAGCCTCAACTTTCCTTTCCCTCGGAAACACCCCTACACCGTCCCACTGTGCAGACGGCGTACACTTTCCATATTGAGTAAATGCTACTTTTGTAGAAAATGCCGAAGAAATAAAGAAAGTGTCTGCTCCGAACGTCGGAGCTCGCGCTTCCTGCCTACTGACTTGACACATGGCTGACTCACGACTGCGTCTGGAGCACACCGAAAGCCCGTCGAACCTTCCACCAAACCTGCAAGAAAGCACCATTTCCTGCCCAATACCCAGTGTTTCGGGGAATTCACCCCTCACCAGTTGAAGTACTTGAATAGGCTAAAGAAATTTCTGCTCCGAGAGCACTGCATTAATAATGTATTGTAGTGTTCTCTGAGCCACAACATCACTTGGGATACCAATGACGCTCCGCTTCCAGTGCAACAAACACCTCGTGAGCACCACTACCACCAGGCAGCAGCGTGAGTCAGTGTCGCACATGGAGTGGTGAGAACAGACGTTGAGGGCCATTTGCCATTCGCAACACTGTTACCTCCGACCATCTACAATAGTAGTGTACGATCTACTGGTGCATGACTACTGTACTCTACTACATGTAGTGCCGGTAGTCGCATTCCCGCGCGAGGACAACACGACAACAGTACGAAAGATGTTGCGACATGGGCGCGAGCTCCGACGTTCGGAGCAGACACTTTCTTCATTACTAACCGCCGATGTCGCAACATCTTTCGTAACCGTCACTTTAATGCTACTTATAACGCTAGCAGTATCCACTCAGGCCCACTCACAACAATTAGCACTTGTGGGCAGATATGTGGACAGATGTGGACAGATGTGGCTTGATGGATGAGATACGTTCTCCGCTCCTGTTCTTTTTCAAATGTGAATTTGCTCGTCTGGTCTAACAAAAATGCGTCCTCGCGATGTCCGTTCACAGCTTCGGGGCGGCTAAGAACTCGAAATCCCTTCTCTGATAGGCCCATGACCGTTGAAGAGATCTTGTAGTTGTACTCCATCTCGCCCAACACGGAGGGTCACTTGTTTTGAAGGCTGGCTTACGGACGACCAACCTATAGCCAAGAGTACATAACCCCCATGTACTCTTGCTGATCTAGCTTGCTCTAGTCTAGTAACTGTTGTCTGTTGTAGTGTAGCTCGTGTTCGTAAGTGAGAGCACTGACGTGAGCAGTCTTCATAAGGGCCGAGCTGCTGCAGCATGGCCCAAACAAGTAGTCCAACTGCCAACTCATGCTCTGGTCACGATGGCGAAACTACTCCTGAAGAACCACTACCTGCTGCCGTGAAGAAATGCCATGACCGTCTGTGTGCTGCTTACAGCAATGTGCAGTTCTGCATAGAGGAGACCGATGAAGAGAAGGAACGAATCTTGCACATGGACGAACTTTATGCTGAGCTCCATGTAGTGTCGAAGCAGAAGCTAAATGCTAGGATGCGTGAAGCAGAGAAACTTGGCACAACTTCAGGCAATGAGCGGCTGTCTCATTCATTTGCGTCTGAAGCTAGGAAGCTGCACAAGATGAAACTTGCCCAGATCCTCACTGTTAAGAAAGCCATGCGACAACGCATGCGTGGGAAGACTTTCCGTGCCATTGCCCTGTCATCGGCTGGAGCAGGCAAGACCATGCTCTTCACCAAGAAGGGTCCCTCTGAATGGGCGAAAGGGCAGATTTGGCCTAACATCGCTGTCCTGCGTGCACTGGAGCTGCGCTTGGCAGAAGTACGCAATATCACAAGCATCGCCGAGCTCCTAGATTTGCAGAATTACGGCATCACACTACCAGGTGAGCAGGCTGAAGTCATTGATTTCGTTTGCAATCATCCTGAATCTGCCTGTATTATTCTCGACGGCCTCGACGAGATCAAGCTGGCCGACTGCAGCAAGTTCATGTACAACGTCATCTATGGCAAAGAATTACCGGGAATCAACCTGATCATCACGTCACGCCATTCGGCAGAAGCCATGAAGCTGACACAAAACCGGGACATAGTCTTCCATCGTCGTGTGGAGCTGCTAGGCTTTGAGAAGCAAGGTTTGGAGCACTACATTCGCAATGTTCTGTCTCCGAAAGATACAACCGGCTTGCTATCAGAGCTCTGCACCAACCCGCAGCTGGCCGCAATGATGCGCACCCCATTTTTTGCCGAAGCAACCTGCAGCCTCTACCGACACAAGCACAGTCTGCCAAACACACCGGGTACAATCTTCAACTCGCTAATCCTCCATCTACTGAATCAGCAAGAAGGAAAGCTGCCCAGCGGTGATCAGCAATACACCGATTGGGACGATGTTCCTGCTGACGTACAGGAAAATCTACTTGATCTCTCCCGCTTTGCTTTTCACATGCTCATCCGTCGGAAAGTCGTCTTCACAGATGCCGACTTCAACATTATTTTCACTGTCATCAGCAGCTCGCACACTTGGAATGCTCATCGCCTGCGACGCAGCATCGCCACAGTCCAGGGCTCAGTGGCGTTTCAGCCACCTGGCACTTCAGGAAGCTCTAGCAGCTCGCTACATGGCTAGCCGCTCTCCCAGTGCAGCTGACATCGCCTGGCTTGTGCAGCGACTTGGAGCATTCACAGGCAGCCTCAATATGTTTTGGCGCTTACTGGCCACTGAGCTGGACAGTGAGTCGGTCAATGTGTTGATTGAAGCCATTCTCAATCCACAGGCCACATCGTCTACTCAGCCACAGGATACCGACCAGCATTCCACAGGAGCAGAGGGGCACAACGTCACATGTTTTCTCTTCACCACACATGACCACGTCATGGAATGGGCCAACCACGTGTCCTCCTTTCTCTCGCTGGACGAAGCAGAGCATCTTGCAGAAGAATTACTAGGTGACAGGATCGACCTCGCATTGTCTGCTTCTGAAATAGTCCGCCTCGAAATTGACCCAGCCCTCACCAAAATCACCTGCAAGGATTTCGTTCGTTCATTGCTACCCATATGGACAGATCGCATCGCCAGCGCCAGTACACAGATGCTGCACGATTGCATGGCCCACCAGGCGCAAGGACCAGCAATTCGATGCTTCACCCTCACTCCCATGTCCAAGTTACCTCCAGTTCCTCTATCCGACGAACCAGCTCAGCCTCGTGCAGCTCTGGAGAACATCAGTGACGCGGAAAGAAGACAACGAATCCTCTACGCCTGCCGGGTCTTCGCGGAGTACGTCAACGCCAAGCAAAGCAGCATCGAAGACATCAACTGCATGCAAGTTATCTTCACGGAGTGCGGAGTAGATTTCGACGACGCTCCTCTCACACCGTTGGACTGCCAGGCCATCAACACTGTCGTACTTCACCACCACCAGTTCATCACCAGCTTCAGCCTGTATGACTGTGGTATAGGTGATACTG